TTATAAAAATTACTTATATAATAAATTATAATTAAATAATAATATAAAAAATATTCATATTGTCAATGATTTTAAATACATTTAAAACTGAACACTAACATCGTATCAAATTTAATCATATTATATGCAGATATAATATTTAACATATATCATTAAATTTAATCATATATAATTGTTTATTTATTTTAATTTTTGATCCAATTAATTTTTGTATAATTAAATTAAACACATCAATAATATAAAAAAAAACTATACTTCCATTTAATTATGAATTGACATATCAACAAAAATAATTATTTCTATACCAATTAATATAATAAATATATTAATAATATATTTTAATTAATTAACAAAAACTATATATATATATATATTAACAATGCATCAAAATTAAACTCTTATAATTATAAATTATGCATATAAATATATGTATGTATAATGTTGATAATATGGTAATTTCGTCATTTCAATTTTTTTTAAAAGATTGAATGTGTAAATTTTATATTATTTTTCTATACTTTGTTGGGAGATTTGATTTATTTTATGCAGAAATATTCTTGGTGAAGAAATGGTAAAAAAAAGGATGTTAAGCAATTAAAAATGTTGCGTTTTGGTATCTGGTAATCATTTCCATCGGATGGCAAAACTTGCAAATTGCAGTGGGTTACACAGGGGCTTGGGCTCTTCCTGTTCGGAGTTCTGGGTGACTTACAGTGCATGATCTGTGTCTTGAATGGTTGTGCTTCAATTCGTTGTTGTGCTTTGCATTTGAGAGATGAAGAGTGGTTGAAATTGATAGAATGTACGTGTTTCCCACTGTTAAAAAGAAGGGAATGAGTGGCCAGCAAATTCCTCTTATGCTTTAGACGTTGATATCCACGTTCTCGATACTTAACATTAACATCTATGGGACGCTTCATTTAAGAATATTAATTATAGCTTCTTAATAATTAATGGCTCGTTGGTTCTCCATTGTGTGAAAGGCCGTATAAACAACGGTGGCCACGAAATCTCTCTGTTCTCCTCATATAGTGATTTAGGCTTACATTACATGTGCCTTTAGCCTTTTAGTCACTTGTATAGCAATTAAATACTGATTTGGTTAGAGATTCCATTCTATTCAGATTTTTCTTATATGTATAAAAAATTCTAACGAATGGTTTTTTTTATTCAACGTAAATTTGTCATTGAGAATTGTTTCGGCTGGTTGAAAGATTTTATAAACAAGTTCGGTTATAATAATTCAATCTTATAATACTAAATACCTTAGAATTATTATAACGTGATTCTGATCTAATACTGGGGGAGAGAGAATGAGCTAAAAGATTAGTTATCTAAAATGATTTAAGCAATTTAAGAATAGAAGCTCTTGCTTGTATAGGTGCTGACTTTGTATTAATACATACAGAAAAAAGTTTTGATCTACTATATCACTTCTCGGTCCTCTTTCATGTTTGTAAATTAAGTTTGGATTCGTTTCGATTATTAAAAAGTTTTGCAAAGATAACATGCTATATAATTTTATTTTTTCTGTTTTTGACTCTTGGAAAGATCAGGTGTGGTTATTACATTACTTCTCAATGTTCATGCATGTATACAAGGAAAACATAATAGCAAGGAGTATCATTGGTTCATTACAACAGCATATCAATCCGAGAGAAATGTATATTAATATAAATAGAAAATAAGAAAAAACATGAACAGTGTCGACATTACTCAGGTTAGGGTCGGGGGAATGACATTTAGGTCGAGAGTTAAGTTCTCTTCCACATCCTCTTCCTTCCCATTCCTCAGTGCCCCCTTCACTTCCTCCACAATCTCTTTCTCCAACGCTGCCACGTCATCTCCATTGCTCTTGAAGTATTTCACAGCCGTGTTTATGCGGCGGAGAATGGCATAGAACTCCTCCACCTCCTCATCGGAGACGTCCTCGCGCGCCTTCTTCTGACTCTCGGGAACGGCGTCGTCTCCGCCTTGCTTTCTCTTCTCCTTGGCGTCCGACATGTGACGAGGGCCGAGTCTTGATAAATGTTCTTTGCCTGCCGATGGTCGTGTTTTAAAGAATGTTTAGGCACAGTAACCGTACACTGACGTCAATCGATGCCGTTGTGTTACCCAATCGTTGGTGGACACGTGTTTTGTGTTTATTCTTTCCGGGGATTTTGGTTCCCTCACACATGTTCCCTGTGCTTGAACAATATTTTAGATCAATAATATACTAATGAAAAAAATAGATATGTATGTCATTAACATTAATAAAAGTAATTATCAGATAAAATTTATACTATATTTTAAAAATATATATTATATTAAAATAACTTATTGTATAAACTAATTGGCGTGAAATTACTTTATTTTAAATTATGAATATAATTATAATAAATATTTTAATATTATAAATTATTATAAAAATATGTATTAAATATTAAATAAGGTACCTATTCAAGTTTCATACATGTGTCAAGATTTTTTCTAAAATTGGTGACGATCCTGTAATATGCATAAATTTGAGAATGATATTAAATACGGATTATTTTTGAAAAAAGGTATCAAAAGTAAATAAATAAAAGTAGTGTAAATTATTAAAAAAAATGGTTGGGAAAAAAGTTTGGACCAAGCAGATGCCATGCCTGTTATTTCTTTGGGTCACACATCTTCAGGTTCAGCGGAATCCCATTCACGGGGTAAAGTATCCATGATGTGATTGCTACCTTTGACGTAATCAGAAATTAAATCCACCCTACCTTCAATGGGCCGAGGCCTTTACGGGCTGACCCGTACTGGTTTTTTTTTCATGAAATATATACATTGACCCAAAAAAAAACATGAAATGTATACACTTAATAAAATATTAAAAAAAATAATATAATTTGATACGAACATAATTAGATATAAACATAAGAGAATCTTTTGACAAATGAAAGACTAAAATGTGGATAAATTAACAGAGTACATTCTATATTTTTATTGCCAGTTATGCAAGGTGTTTTAGCGCCTAAAATCATATTTCAATATTTCTCATTTAAAATCAGTTTTAATAGTATTAATGTTGAACTATTAAATACAATCACAAAGTATATTTATATTAACTTTAATAATAAATGTATATTAAAATGTCTATTACAGTGTATGAAATTAATATTTTAAATAATTGGGCACTGGGTTATAAAAAATGAAAATATTTTAATGTTAAAGTAAGTGCATACTTAAAAATACTTAAATTAAAGAATACTTTATTGAAATAAATCAAACTAAATAATCAAATAAAACCTACATATGTCAAGATAAAACTCGAAGCATCGAATACTCCAAGGATACTTCTGTTCCTGCACATGCTCACCATACAAGTGTTAACGTTAAACATTATGCTGGATTCCCGTTGCTACCTGTTTCATTACTATTTGTTTATACGAGGTCACACATGTCATTAACTGTGATTTTAAATATTTTTTAATAAAATAGATATATAATCAATAAAAATATTCTTTTAATATGTCAAACAACATTAAATATATCATATTAAATACTTTTAAATTATTATAAAAATAACAAATATTTTATTTCTAATAGCTCTATTAATAAAAAAAATTTGCATCAAGATTCATTTCCTTGAGTGTATTTTGTTAATCTGTAAATGTATTATTTTTGTTTTAGAAACTTTTGAAAATATGACAACTTGGTTTTTGGTGGACCATTTTGCAGCTTTAAAAGGACCAACTTGCGTTTAAACAAACAAAAAGAAGCAGACTCGATGCCTTGCCGATGATCCCGAGGGACGTCAACGTTAGTGTTATAAAAAAATGGATGTTAAGGTAATTGACAGCTTCCAAACTCCAGATTCAGCGGCTCAACCGAGGACAGCGTGAAGGCTTTCGATAATATATGTAAAATAAAATAAATAATATATTACTTGCACGAATAAAAATGTCAAAAAATCTGCATTTACTTGGATGAACAAAAATAAGTAAATTACATTTAAATAACTATAATATTTTTATTTTAAACATGTTTATGTTATATTAAAAATTAATTAATATATGACAAATTAAATCAATTTCAATAAACAAATATAAAGTAACAAACACACGTCCATTCACGAAATCGTTATCTTGGTAAAGTGAAATTTTTTATACGATTTCCACGTGTACTGTTTTCTTGCTCCCAATACAACTAAACAAACGATGAAAAATAATTATTTTATCACAAAATCAATTTTTTTATAAATTTATCTATTTAAATATAGAGAAGTATTTTATATATTTTTACAAAATAATAAAAAATAAATAAAATATATTAATATTAAATGTTAAAACTCAAACACTTACACTGTTTAATTTTTTCATAAAAAAAATTAAATAATTAGTTTAAGATTTTTTTAAGTATATTAACTATATAAAATTTTATTTTAAAAAATAAAATATTTTAGAACATTATTTTATTTTAAGGTATAATTTATTTTTAAAGTATAAGTAAATATTAATAGTTATATGTATTTTTATTGAATTCTAAGCTGAGTTGAATACACTTATAATATTTATGAGAGACTAGTGATCAATATTTCGTCAACTAACAGTTCTATACTATTATTGTTTGATAACGATGGTCCACCTTCGAGTATATTGAGAACAAATTAAGGGATTTATACCTACAAAATTAAGAATACCAGAACCCGTGCTACAATAGACAAATAAAGCGAAAAATCGCCTTGGAACGTGTAGGATATAGAACCTTGACATGCAGTAGCTCCGTAATCCATATCCATTTGACAAAGTTGTGTATCTTGAATAATCTTAATCTAACTCACTGAACCTAAAACTAACAATATTAAACTTGAAACAGATAAAAAAAATTTAAAACTCAATTACTAAATTTTATATATTTCAAATAAAAATATTAAAAAATACGTTTCAAAGTCCTAGATGAGAGTAGCTACTATATTTATAATCCACTAGAACCCTCCCAAGAGTAGTGCATCTGGTCTTACTCCAGATTAGTGAGCTATGATATCCCTTAAACAATTAACTGCTCTTCTTCTAACATGGCTCTTATGTGTGGCAGAAGGAGCAAGCATTTCTTCTCCCAATGCCACCAAAATTGGGCAAGGTTACCGTCTTGTATCTATTGAAGACACCCCTGATGGTGCTATTGTTGGGCTCCTTCAAGTTAAGCAAAAAAACTATATTTATGGCCCTGACATTCCACTTTTACGCTTTTATGTAAAGTGAGTCTCACGTTGCATTAATACATTATATTATGCATTCATGTTTTCACTACGAAGTTGACTAATTCTGAGTTTTTACATTGATGTTGATTTTGTAGGCACGAGACTGAGAACCGTTTAAGGGTACACATTACAGATGCAAGGAACCAAAGGTGGGAAGTTCCTTACAACCTTTTACCAAGGGAGAAACCACCGGTATTAAAGCAGAATATTAAGAGGTCGAATAAGAACTCAATATCAGTGTCAGAGTACTCTGGCTCTGAGCTGCTTTTTAGCTTCACTTCAGACCCGTTTAGCTTTGTAGTGAAAAGAAAGTCCAATGGAGATACCCTTTTTGACTCCACTTCTGATGATTCAGACCCATTTAGCCCATTGGTCTTCAAGGACCAGTACCTTGAAATTTCTACCAAATTACCCAAAGATGCTTCTTTGTATGGTTTGGGTGAGAACACACAACCGCACGGGATCAAACTGTATCCAAATGACCCTTACACTTTGTATACCACTGACATATCAGCCATTAATCTAAATGCTGATCTATACGGGTCACACCCTGTGTACATGGATCTAAGAAATGAAGGTGGCAAAGCTTATGCCCATGGTGTTCTGCTGCTGAATAGTAATGGAATGGATGTGTTTTACAGTGGAACGTCTCTGACATACAAGGTTATTGGAGGGGTACTCGATTTTTATTTCTTTGCTGGGCCCACTCCTCTTAATGTTGTGGATCAGTATACTTCTTTCATTGGCAGACCAGCTCCAATGCCTTACTGGGCTTTCGGTATGGTTCATTTTCACTCTCTCTCAGCATGGCACGTATCTTTGTATACATTTTGTACCTGTGATATTATTATTATTATTATTATGTTGTTGTTGTTGTGTGACCGTCTCTTTATTACTTTATAAGATTAATTGTGTTTTAGTTTATTCAACTTCTACCAAAATCATTTTTAAACAATAAATGCTTAAAATGTTTAATTTTTAGTTTGAAACTTATACCGACATGTTTATTATTAAATAAAAAGCTCATAAATATAAATAATAAATTTAAGCTATAGTTTAAATGCTCGGGGGTAAGACACGACACGTAATATTGAGAATTAATTATAAGATTACATCATATTGGGTGAAAACAGAAAAAGATTTAACGGTGTAACGCCACTCACATTTTCGTTAAAAGTTTAAAATGGTACCAGAAATGGTTTACTTCCAAAATATAACACTTGTCTTTCAGAACTTTATTACCATTTGTACGATGATAGTTTGTTCGTAAAAAGTATTTGATCAATATGCTCACATATTTTATTTGTTATGTTATAGGATTCCACCAATGCAGATGGGGCTATCACAACCTATCTATTGTGGAAGATGTTGTGGAGAATTACAAGAAGGCTAAAATCCCACTTGATGTGATATGGACAGATGATGATCACATGGATGGCCACAAGGACTTTACACTCAATCCAGTGAACTACCCTCGTCCAAAGCTTTTAAAATTTTTGGACAAAATACACAACATTGGCATGAAATACATTGTCATCATTGATCCCGGAATTGCTGTTAACTCCAGTTATGGTGTATATCAAAGGGGTATGGCTAATGATGTTTTTATCAAGTATGAAGGCGAACCCTACATGGCTCAAGTTTGGCCAGGAGCAGTATATTTTCCTGATTATCTCAATCCAAAAACAGTTTCTTGGTGGGGTGACGAGATTCGTCGCTTCCATGAACTTGTCCCTGTTGATGGCCTATGGATTGACATGAATGAAGTTTCGAATTTCTGCACTGGGAAATGCAAAATTCCAGAGGGAAGGTTGTGTCCACTTCCAAATGGAAATGTTCCTAATTCCACATGTTGTTTAGATTGCAAAAACATCACAAGCACACGGTGGGATGATCCTCCATACAAAATCAATGCTAGAGGAGTAAAGGCTCCTATAGGCTTCAAAACTATAGCCACTAGTGCAGTTCACTATAATGGTGTGTTGGAATATGATGCTCATAGCCTTTTTGGTTTCTCTGAGGCCATTGCAACACACCAAGCCCTTCAGCAACTTCGAGGAAAAAGGCCATTTGTTTTGTCTCGCTCCACTTATGTAGGTGCGGGCAAATATGCTGCACATTGGACTGGTGACAATAAGGGCACATGGGAGGACTTAAGGTACTCAATTTCTACTGTAATCAATTTTGGAATATTTGGCATGCCAATGGTTGGTTCAGATATATGTGGTTTCTACCCTGCACCCACTGAAGAGCTTTGCAACCGGTGGATTGAGGTTGGAGCTTTCTACCCTTTCTCAAGGGATCATTCAAGCTTCATCTCCCCTAGACAGGAGCTTTACCAATGGGACTCAGTAGCTGAGTCAGCTAGAAATGCTTTGGGTATGAGATATAAGCTACTGCCATATTTGTACACCCTTAACTATGAGGCTCATATTAGTGGAGCCCCAATTGCTAGGCCTCTTTTCTTCTCATTTCCAACTTACACCGAGTGTTATGGCCTCAGCACTCAGTTCTTACTCGGTAGCAGCCTAATGATTTCTCCTGTGCTTGAACAAGGAAAAACACTAGTTAAAGCACTCTTTCCTCCCGGAACTTGGTATAGTTTGTTTGATTTGACAAGTGCCATTGTATCAAAAGATGGAAGCTATGTTACCCTCGATGCACCCTTGCATGTGATCAATGTGCATCTGTATCAGAATACCATTCTTCCAATGCAACAGGGTGGAATGGTATCTAAGGATGCTAGAATGACACCCTTTAGCCTCACTGTGACCTTTCCAGCTGGTGCAACTGAAGGAGAAGCTAAAGGAAACCTATTCCTCGATGATGATGAGATACCAGAAATGGAGCTTGGAAATGGGTATGCAACCTACGTTGATTTCCATGCAACCATCAAAGAAGGAACTGTGAAAGTTTGGTCACAAGTCCAAGAGGGCAAGTTTGCTTTGGATAAAGGTTGGATTATTGACACAATCAACGTGGTGGGATTAAATGGAATTGGAGCATCATCTACCATTAAGATAGATGGAGAGCCATTGATGGGTGTGTCAAATGTGCAAGTTAGTACATTTCAACATGAGTACCTGTATGGCCTGGGAGATGGAGAACAGAAGACAGTGATGGTAGTGTTGCAGGGCTTGAACATCCCTGTAGGTCGAAATTTTGCTATTACCTGGAAGATGGGATCATAAATTGAGACAGTGTCTTCTTAATTAGATTCCAATGCTATGTGAGGACTTCTAAATGCCTAAATTTAAGGTTTTGATGCCACAGGTGGAATCCTCTGGAATCTCTTTTTATCGTGTAATAAGACCAGTGTTAAACATTTAATGATAGATAAAATAAAAATGTACCTTTTTGTCAATTATTTTATTTTAATTTTTAATTAAGTAAAACTTAAATGTTCGTGACGACTTCATATAAATTCCGCTACCACCGGCAAAGCAAAATCGATGCAAACATAAAAATTAACAATTAAATTTTATTGTAGATAGTTAAAATTAAAAATAAAAATTGTATAATTTAAAAATTAATGTTTTAATTGTCTTATAAGTTTACGTCAAATCATGATGATACCTCTTAAAATTTGTTCAAATTACGTCTGATATACCTTTGCATATTTGACGCCTACATCCATCATTCTTAATTAATGAAAAGACATTATATCGTTTATCCTTATTAATATTTATCCGTCCAGTTAAATAACGACCAGCCATTGACACCTCTAAATGCCTCACCTTAAATGTAAGCATTAGAATAAAAAAAAATTAGCATAAGTATCAAATATGCACGATATCGAACATAATTTAAACAAAATTTATGAAGTATCATTATAATTTATCCTTAAACTTAATTATTTATATACAACTATATAATTTAACTTTTATTTTCTGTTGTCACATGGAAATAATTTTTCTGTTCTAGTTTAATCCGATGTTGAGCAATGGAGAAATTCGAACAGAGTTGATTTTAATAAAAATAAAATAAAATTCTTCTTTAAATATTAAATACATCCATTTAACAGAAGTGGTGCCCATTCATGTGTGAAGATAACACACACGGGCACAAATATCAGAAGACAAGGGTCAAGATGAGACTTGGAACATCGAATAATCCAACGGTGATTTTATGTTCACGTGCTTATCGTACAATTATTAATACGTGCGTTAAGCTTGATTCCCATAAGATTGTCTTTATTAACAAGCACCCCACGTCGCCCTCTTAATTGATTACTGTTTCGATTTTTCAATTCCCTTTTAAGCACCTAATGACATGTTAGTAAGTGGGTTACATTCCATGATTTATATTTAACTATTAAAAATGCTTTTGATTAAATCATATTCTTTCTTATTTTTAACGTCCAAGCAACATTTCCTTCCTTGAATTATACGTTCCATATTAATTATGTTATTTTTAACATTTAGCTTGTAATTGACTAGTATTCATTATGATTTATATGCGGGTTTATTTCATAAGCTTGGCTTCTTTGTTGAAACAATAATGTAAATACTCAGTGATTAATTGGTTAATAGTGGGTCATTATTAACGTAGACAATTATCAGGCTAAGTGCTTCATCATCGGAAGCAAATGTTTCTGAGTGGGAAAGGGAAACCCCTCCATTTTTCATCACCCGATCATTTTGGAAGGTATCGATGCGACCAACTTGCGTAAACAAAACGAAAGAAGAAAGTGTTGATGCTTTACCAATGAAACAAAGAATTATTATTGAAGAGACGTCAATGTTATTGTAAAAATCGACGATAATGACAAATTGGGAACTTCAGATTCAGCATCCCAATGATAATATGGGTTATCAAATTTTACAACTTGTTATTTACAATTTTACACACGTTAAAACAATCTTTATTATTATTATTTTTTTCATTGATGCATCAATCTCAATAACAATTTTTGGTTCACCCCATGTGTCTGATTTATTTTTGCTTTATCTTGGGACTAGCAATGATAAGGGCAGGTAATTAAGAATGTTAAAATGAATTAAAATGTTTTTAAGCTGTTGAATCAACATAAAATAATAAAAAAATGTCTAAACTAAAGTTTGATTATAATAAAAAAAATTATCTCTAATTTATAACTTGGAATAATATTTGGTTCTTATAATTAAAATCAATATATTATTTTTAAAATTATGTTTTTATATAACAAAAATTTAAATTTTATTATAATATTATAAGTACACGGCATGTCACTTTTATATATATAGGTTTGTTAACATCCATTTACCTGTTTTTGAAAAGGAGTATTTTAACGATTTAAACTTTAAGTATATTTAAAAAAAGTTAAAGTCATAATTTACTAACATACTTTTTAAAAAGATAAATAGATATATGTTAGCAATTATGAACATTAACAAAATATTTTATATATATAGTGAGAAAATAAAATTATAAAATATAAAGAATAATTAAATCCACTGCAACACCATATCAACACAACTACACAGGCGGCCAAAAAATTATATTTAAATTTGCTGTACAATAATCCAATTTCCATCCATGAACACCAAAACGCATGACCATTGCTATTCAATTATAGTCAAAATTCGATTAATAGTCATTCTCAATCGTGAATTAGTAAACGATCTTTGCGTTTAATTATTGAAACAAGCTCTTAAGTTCCATTAGAAAAATGGATATTAGCAGTCCTACATTTTAAGTAGATTTATGTTTTTCCAACTTTACCCATGACTATTGTCTCATTGAATTCTTTCATTATTGGTTTGCATAAAAGCATTCCATCTTCAACCTCTTCGACGGTGTTGGAGTTGACAGTAAATGAAGACTCCAACTAGAATCAACCCCCATTTACAGCGAATAACAAACTTCAAAACCAACACCCTTTTTTCCATATGTAATTATGTATCTGTATCTTCTCATGTACTGTTATGTAAGACAGAAAAACACAAACAACTGCATAGTGAGACATAGCAAGGAGCATGTAAGGCGTCCACTACATTTGAAAATAAAATACTTTTAAGATTTCCATCGCTTCAGCTTCTCAAGAGCACAACACAAAGTCTCCACAGAAATAGCATCTAGCTTCTTTCTATGTTTGTTATCTCACACTGCCTTTGATCCACACGAAACACTTTTAACATAAGATCCTCTAAATTCTAAAAGCACGTAGAGCAAAAATGAGTGGTGCAAGGAGGGTCCACACTCCACGGAGTGATAAAAAGAATGGGGCCAAATGGATGGCCCACTGTCAGAGATTGGGTTAGTCCATCAAAGTCACGCGTAATGGATCCTATGAATCCCTCACTCACTCACACTCTCAAGCAGGACAAACATTACAACACAACAATGTGACCAAAAAAAATAAAAACACAACACAACACAACTAAAGCTAGTTGGTTATAAATTTTTGTCATCCATCACAACTCTTCATCTGAGTGCCTTGCACTAGAGTCTAGATTAGTGAGCTATGGTTTCTCCTAATCCACTAGCCGCTCTCAGTCTCTCTTACCTTCTACTAACTTGGTTTCTATGTCTAGCTGTGGAAGCAGTTGGTTCTTCTTCTCCCAATACCACCAAAATTGGCCAGGGCTACCGTTTGATATCTATTGAAAATACCCCTGATGGTGCCCTTGTGGGACACCTTCAAGTTAAGCAGAAGAACGATATCTATGGTCCTGACATTCCCATTTTACTCCTCTATGTCAAGTATGTTGTACCTAGCATCGTTGTGCATTCACATTATCACTGTGAAACTAATTCTGAACATTTATTTAACATGCACCTTCTTCATTGTTCTTGATTTTGCAGGCACGAGACTGGGAACCGTTTGAGGGTACACATCACTGATGCAAAGAATCAAAGGTGGGAGGTTCCCTACAACCTTTTACCACGGGAAATACCACGGGTTCTGAAGCAGAATGTTAGGAGGTTGAGGAAGACCACATTATCAGTGTCAGAGTACTCTGGCTCTGAGCTTGTCTTCAGCTACACTTCAGACCCGTTTAGCTTTGCAGTGAAAAGGAAGTCCAATGGGGATACCATTTTTTACTCCAATTCTAATGAGTCAGACCCATTTGGTCCATTGGTCTTCAAGGACCAATACCTTGAAATTTCTACCAAATTACCCAAAGATGCTTCTTTGTATGGTTTGGGAGAGAACACACAGCCACACGGGATCAAGCTGTATCCAAATGACCCTTATACTTTGTATACCACTGATGTATCAGCCATTAATCTCAATACTGATCTATACGGGTCACACCCTGTATACATGGATCTCAGAAATGGTGGTGGCAAAGCTTATGCTCATGCTGTTCTGTTGCTGAATAGCAATGGAATGGATGTGTCTTACAGAGGAACCTCTCTGACATACAAGATTATTGGAGGGATACTCGATTTTTACTTTTTTGCTGGGCCCACGCCACTGCATGTTGTTGATCAGTACACTTCCTTAATTGGCAGACCAGCTCCAATGCCTTACTGGGCTTTCGGTATGCTTCACTTTTCACTCTCTTTTATCATTGTGTTGTATATGGCATATTCTATTTAGTATGGCTTCATATCAGTCATTTGGGTGCCACAGAACCACTTTCCATTGCATAAATAATGTAGACAGAGGAACTACTAAATGAGAAAACTCTGGCCTACCACATGTGAGACGACAATAATAATGAGTTCAACCGTGAGTAGGCGAATTCAATATGGCACTTCGAGAGCATATCTTTGGTGTGCATAATGCATTTGAGAATGCAACGAGCCATGGTTTTGCAATTATCAGCTTTTGCTTTACCGTATCCATGACATTGTGTGATCGAGATGCTTCTTGCTTGTAAGAATTAGGTCAGGAAAATTAGTTTAATTCCTAATCTATTTGTATTATTTATATACTGGCAAAGGTTTTCAGGTATTAAACTCAATAGTTCAGTAATTTAATACCTTTTAGGACCACATTTAAGGGTATGGCCAGACATAAAGTTGGAAGCTGAACTTTATCATATACAAAATAAAATAAAATCATCTTTTGTCGTAAACTTTGTCAAGGAACTTGACCGACATGCATGTATTTTGTATAAGTCGAGGGTCTTTGTCAAGAACCATTATTAAATACACAGTTGCTATCATCATTCTGTCCTTTTTCTTTGGAGGTAGAAAATATGTGTTTTTATAAAAATAATGCTATCATATATGTATCATGTCTAATGAGTGAAGTTAGCCTTGGGTTACGGGAAATACATATCGGTAGGGCGATTTAATATAAAATAATTAATTCATTTATGATAAAATATTTTGTGCTGTAACTCGACTAGTGCATTTACTTTTGAAGTTTTTTTTTTTTCCATGGTAAATATTCTTTTCAATTTCCTCCATTTCACTTGCTTCATTTCCATATTTCTACTTGGCAATTGTTTGTAACAAGTACTTGACCAACATGCTCACTTATTTGATTTTGTATATTATAGGATTCCATCAATGCAGATGGGGCTATCACAACCTATCTGTTGTGGAAGATGTTGTGGAGAATTACAACAAGGCTAAAATCCCACTTGATGTGATTTGGAATGATGATGATCACATGGATGGCCACAAGGACTTTACACTCAATCCATTGAACTACCCTCGTTCAAAACTTTTAAACTTTTTGGACAAAATACACAGCATTGGCATGAAATACATTGTCATCATTGATCCCGGAATTGCTGTTAACTCCAGTTATGGTGTATATCAAAGGGGTATGGCTGATGATGTTTTTATCAAGTACGAAGGAGAACCCTTCTTGGCTCAAGTGTGGCCAGGAGCGGTATATTTTCCTGATTTTCTCAATCCAAAAACAGTTTCTTGGTGGGGTGATGAGATTCGCCGCTTCCATGAACTTGTCCCTGTTGATGGCCTCTGGATTGACATGAATGAAGCTTCAAACTTCTGCTCAGGAAAGTGCACAATTCCAAAGGGAAAAGTGTGCCCGAGTGGAACAGGACCTGGATGGGTATGTTGCTTGGATTGCAAAAACATCAAAAGCACACGATGGGATGATCCTCCCTACAAAATTAACGCTTCTGGAGTACAGGCCCCGGTAGGCTTCAAAACTATAGCCACTAGTGCAGTTCACTATAATGGTGTTTTGGAGTACGATGCTCATAGTATTTATGGTTTTTCTCAAGCCATTGCAACTCACAAGGCCCTTCAAGGGCTTCAAGGAAAAAGGCCTTTCATTTTGTCCCGCTCTACTTATGTTGGTTCAGGCAAATATGCTGCACATTGGACTGGTGACAATAAGGGCACATGGGAGGACTTGAGGTATTCAATATCTACAATGCTCAATTTTGGAATTTTTGGGGTGCCAATGGTGGGTTCAGATATATGTGGTTTCTATCCAGCACCCACTGAAGAGCTTTGCAATCGATGGATTGAAGTTGGTGCTTTCTACCCTTTCTCAAGGGACCATGCAAACTACTACTCCCCTAGACAGGAGCTTTACCAATGGGACTCAGTAGCTGAGTCAGCTAGAAATGCTTTGGGTATGAGATATAAGCTCCTCCCATATCTATACACCCTTAACTATGAGGCTCATATTAGTGGAGCTCCAATTGCCAGGCCTCTTTTCTTCTCATTTCCAACTTACACTGAATGTTATGGCCTCAGCACCCAGTTCTTGCTGGGGAGCAGTCTAATGATTTCTCCGGTGCTTGAACAAGGAAAAACACAAGTTAATGCACTCTTCCCTCCTGGAACCTGGTACAGTTTGTTTGATTTAACTCAGACCATTGTATCAAAAGGTGGAAACTATGTTACCCTGGATGCACCTCTGCATGTGGTGAATGTGCATTTGTATCAAAATACCATTCTTCCAATGCAACAGGGTGGAATGGTATCTAAGGATGCTAGAATGACACCCTTTAGCCTCATTGTGGCCTTCCCAGCTGGTGCAACTGAAGGAGAAGCTAAAGGAAACCTATTCCTAGATGATGATGAGCTGCCAGAAATGCAGCTTGGAAATGGGTATTCAACCTACATTGATTTGCATGCATCTATCAAAGAAGGAATGGTGAAAGTTTGGTCACAAGTCCAAGATGGCAAGTTCGCTTTGGATAAAGGTTGGGTTATTGACACTATAAATGTGTTGGGATTGAAAGGAAATGGATCACTACCTACAATTAAGATGGATGGAGAACCATCTATGGGTGTCTCAAATGTGCAAATTAGTACATCTGAACAAAAGTACTTACACGGGCAGGGAGACACAGAAAAGATATTGATGGTAGGATTGAAAGGCTTGAATATTCCTTTAGGCAAAAACTTTGCCATGACATGGAAGATGAGATCATAAGTTGAGATAGTCTCACCTTGATTGAGATTTGTAACTTTCTTTTATGTTTATTAATCTTATTAGCATCGTTGAAGGAGAGATGAGCTATAATAGAGCTCGTCCTTTTCCATCTAGTCTAACAGAGGCTTTTGGGTTATGCTATGGATGTTATGTTGAGTCCTTGAATTTGAAATGCTTGAATTCAGATTTCGTTCTGCATAGTGTAATAAGACAAATAAACGTATCTATTTTATAAATTTAGTAATTGGTAGTGAAGTAGTCATAACATCCCAATTGATGCAATACAATACACGGGGTGGGCGAGGAAGCAACGTGGAAATTAAAATCTTGAAAAATGGTAAAATAAACTTATGGCACAAATCCACACGAGCACTCTCCCCCTTCCTTGTCGCCAGCAATGCTGTCTATCTGCATTTCCTTCTGACAATGTCGACAATTCAGCACTATAAATCTGCAGACACTGTATTCAGGTTCAGGCACAACAATAAGAAACGATGTTTTGTTCTACTATATTGCATCCATTTTCATTCAGAATCACGGAGCAACAACAAATTTTTCACGTTCGCATGCCATCGGACAATAATGTTTTCCCCGTTTTTGTTAGAGACAAAGTTAAGTATAAAAGTAGTAAATTTAATAATTAAAAAAAGGTAAACAAAATAAAAAAAAAAAGGTATTTTATTTTGTTGAAATAAGATTATTTGCGACATGTAGACCGTACAAAACGTTTAACCATGAATTCAATAAACTTTTGGTAATGTAAATGGAAATTACTCTTTACCTTTTTCTTTTTTTTTCTATCACCGAAGGTTGCTTGTCACTCATATCCGAGTGTTAGTGTGTCACGTACTTATGGAACTACTTTGCTCAGGAATTTATGGTTTTGTTGTTCGTTTTGTTTTGAGGCAATGGGACCACTCACAATTTTTTTTTAAATTGTATTTACTTTTTATTTTGCCAATTTAAAAGAGTATATACACGATCGCTTCTTGAAAATAGGACATATGCATGCATTTTTATTAAAATAATAAAAAATTTGTTTACCTTAACTTTTAAGATTGAGTTTAACATTTATAAATATAAAATTTTTATTAAAAAAATATAATTATTGTATTGAAATTATAAAAATATAATAAATAATTTTTTTAAAAATATTATTATGATTAACTGCTTATTTTTAGTTTTAAAAGATTAAAATTAATAGTATAAATAATAATAATATAAATTGAGGAGAAAAAGTAAATGGGTAATCTTTTCTTTTCATAAAAGAGTGTAACTAACATTAACTTTTTGTTTGGGGTAGTGTGCGAGCAGTGTTTGGTATTGGAGGTCATCGACGGTGGTATGCCACAGTTGACAAATTGTTAGCGAAAATGGGGCGTGGTGGTGTGAAATACAGAAAGTGGAAGACAGATTAGCAGAGAAAACAAAGCTGAAACTTTCAGGACATAACAAAAATTGTTCACACTTTACCCCCTTTTTCACACCATAAGCGATGGATCATGATTCTTTCTTGTGGCACTGTTGCTCCATTCGCTCACACTAATCCTTCTGATCTCAAACGTAAATATATCATTCATTACTGAATGATTGCTTTCACGTTTATTAGTTATGGTTTAAATTATCATTTGTGTTAATTTTTTATTTATTGATTTTTTAATTTGAATTTCAATACACTCTATTTATATGTTTTATGTTAGGTAAAATTCTCTTTTAAATTCGAGTTAATTTTTAAATAAATTAATTATTTGATGATTTTCAAAGTTTTTAATGAGTAAGAGAATTTTTATAAATCATGATAAATTTATATTTTTAAGTTATTTAATTAGTCCTTTAAAAAAAACTTCTCAAGTTAATTGTCATTAAAGAATTAATATATATATATATATATATATATATATATATATAATGATGGCTTAATTTTTTTAAAAGAGTAAAATGTTAATTTTATCCTTAATATTTTACAGGTTTATTAAATTAGTTTTTTAATTAAAAATTTGTCATATTTATATTTAAACTTAACTTAAGATAGTATCTTTTAAATTGTTTATAATTTTCTGTTGTCATTGACAGAAATGTCTACTTCATTATTTACTGTATAATTACTTACATATCCTGTTAATGACATTAGAATGTTCTTTGACGACACATTTGATATCTTGATTAATATGTTAAGAATTAATCAGTATAATATTAAAGACTAATAATGAAATATTAGGACAATTTGATATGTCACGTTGGTTTGTTTTCTAATATTGAAACTAATATTATTACTCTTGCTCGCAGTGACATGCATGAGTTGTTTATTAACATGAATTAGATCAACTAAAAGAAGTTTAATTTTGTTATGTGCGTAGATTTAAATATAGTTTTAAATTTTATGCACTTTAAAAGAATACCTTTTCTTGAAAATGTCTTTATGATTGATTTAATGTAAACCTAGTTTAATTGGACAGACTCCGCGCTTATGTTTTATTTAAACGAGAGAATTATATATATATATATATAGAGAGAGAGAGAGAGAGAGAGAAATAGAGATTTTTAACTTTGTTGAATATATAAAAAATAATATTAAAGATTATTTTTATTTTAAATTTTAAGTTTTTTATTATTTTGATTAAATTTAAATTCAATTTTCGACTTCTTTTTTATAGTGAGATAAATATAAATTTTTATTTGAACGGAAGACTTTCTTCACCTTAAAATTGGACAATATTTCCCCACCTATCAAATTTGTAGCCAAAAATAATAATATTCTATTTTGTGTAATAAAAATAAACTTGACCGTTGTTCGATTATTAGGTGACCAAACGTTTACTTGAAAGAGAAAGACTCGCGTTCTGGACTTCTAGCCGACAGCGCCGTCACTTTCTTGTACGCATTCCAAGTTGTTGTTTTAAGAATTATTAATCAACATTCATGAAAAACATTAAATTAAAATAAAATAAAATAATTAAATAAAAAATTCAAAAAATTTATAAAAATTTATTCAAGTTATTATTGAATGCATGAATATCATTTTTCGAAGTTGAACTAGTCTATTTTGATTTTTGTTTGACATTTAATCTGGTTTTAGTACACGTGTATGATGTTCCTTCTAAGTAGACGATAATATTTATAAAGAATCGCGCGTAAACATAGATACAATAACAATAAGTTATAAACTATAAATTTAAATAATATTTAAAATGGTGTATAAAAAGCGTTGCATATAAAAGAATTTGATTGAAATATATTGATAGTGAAGTTTTTTCTAATATCATTCAATAATATATTATTATATTAATTAAAAACTACAATAATTAACTTTAAAATATATTTATTATATATTCAAATTAGTTGATATCATAGCAATATCTATCTAATAACAGTACATTAAAGTTAAAATCTAAATTAAATAAAATATTTGTATATGCCAAATATCTCTATTTATGTTGAATAAACTTATAAAGTTAATTATTTAGCAATTAAGAATGACTTATGAAATATTTAATTAAAAAGAATAAATTTTCTTTTAACAATTATAAAAACATTGAATACCTTATACTATTTTTTACAATCATCTTAATGCATTTATTGATATATACTATCTATTTTTTAAGAGAGAAACTTAGCGTTATATTTTTTAAATGCAATTATTGTTTATTAACATAATTCTTTAATAAAAAAAATAACTGTACCTTAATGTTAGCATGCATTAATTTATTTTTTAATGGATACGTTGATAAGTTACAGTTTTAATATATTTGCGAAAATATAATTAAAACTTACTACTATAGTCTGTGTAAAATATAAGTGATGTACGCCAGCAAATTTATACTTTATTAAGTTATGAAATATATTTTTAATTTGTGTTTTACTTATATTTGTTTCCCTCCTGTATTGTACAATTGTTGTTTTAGGCTTAAAAAGAGAAATTTAAAAAGTTAGTACATGACCGTGAAAATTATTAAAAAAATTAAAAAACAAGCTAATTTTTCTTATTTTTGCATGTAGTTTTTACAAAAGTATAATGTTGTTCAAATTAAAAAAATTACAGCATAATAAAATTAACTTTATTTAAAAAACAACAAATAAACAAAATTTTCGTTAAAAAATAGTACCTCTGTCAAGCCCTCATTTAAATGATTTTTTAATCGTAAAAATATATTTAATAATTGTCAGAAAATCTATTTAAATAATTGTAGGTACTTAGATAAGATTAAGATATCATGCCATCAGGCAAGACAAAAGGGATCAGTAGATGAAGATGATTAAAATATGACTTCTTTCCATTGTAAAATGTTAAAAAACAAATATGATTGATCAAAGTACATTTTTTTGAACTGCGGTTAATCCAGGTTTCAAGGTATGAGTATTGTCTTATCCGATTGATTGTATATGTCAAATGGCTTTGATTTTACTTTAACGTAAAGCTAGTTATTATAATAAAAAATAATATTATGTAACAAATGTCTGTTTTAACTTTTTTTATTGGAAATAAAACATGCATTACATGTGATAATTATTATTATTTTTTAAATATTTATTATATCAGTTTTTAAAAATTTTGTTAAATTATCTAATGATATACACTGTAAAAAATAATAAAATAAAAGATATTTAATACCAAATTTTAACTATAATATTTTCGTATGTAAAATATCTTATTTTAATATTTTATTAATGCAATTTTTACATCATCTGTTTACTAATGTATTATGATATTACTTAATTGTTATCGTTATTTTTTTATAATAAAAGAAGTTAAAAGTTGAAATTAAAAAATATTAAAATTTATACATAATTGAGTAATTATAAAATATCAAAACATAAAATGGAATACAAAAAAATAGAGATAAATGATTTAAAAAAAAAAACACATCTTTTAATATTTAGCTTAATAAACTAATAAGCACGTTGATTAAGTTATCTACATAACTAAATTAAATTTATTTAAGTAAAAGTCTAATATTATACACCAAATAAATAAAAGAATGATAACAAAATTAAATATTTAAATTAAGAAATAATGATTAGTTGGAGTTCCACAAAAAGTAACGTTTATTTTAAAATCAGCAATAAAATTATC